TGGCCTTGTCCGCCAGACTATGCAGGACTATAGTACCAATCTGCATGTGGTGTGTATGGAGATGCCCAGGCACTTTAGATGACATTTGCACTTCCTTATTTGCATAGAGATTTTGGACTTGGTAGATAAGAGCTGCTAGAGAATTGCATCCTTAAAGAATTGGGCAGTCAGGTTTGGATGCCAAACACAGCTGCTTGAGGTCAGGAAATATTTCAGTCTTTTTGCTTTTCTCCTGATTTCCCAAGAACAAGAGAATGTAAAGTTTTAAAGACGTATTGTTTTGCTTTCTTTCTCACTTTAATCAAACATTAATGGGAAAGGAATTTTTACTATTTCATAATATTTTCTATCAAAGCTTAAATATATCATTTTCTCTCTTTGGATTATTTTATGGTTTTCGAATTCACAAATATCTTATTTTGCTCTATTGGCTCTAATTCTGTGAAAGTTCCTTTTCTGACATCTCCATCAGTGCCCCATCATCATCAATATGCATGTCAGTAGCTATGAGAAAACAGCTGTGTTATGGGGAATGTTATGCCTTCATGTGGGTGCTTGGGATGATTGTGCAAAGTTTGCTAAATATAGCTGATGCTAGCAGTGAGGAAATAGGCAAGATGTATTTCATAGAATCATAGAATGCTAGAACTGGAAGGGACCTCGCAAGATGATCAAGTCCAGTCCCCTCTCCTCATGGCAGGCACAAGCACTGTGTAGATCATCCCTGATTGGTATCTATCTAACCTGTTCTTAAATATCTCCAGTGATGGAGATTCCGAACCTGCCTAGGTAAATAATTTCAGTGTTTAATCACCCTGACAATTAGGAAGTTTTTCCTAATGTCCAACCTAAACCTCCCTTGCTGCAATTTAAGATCATGGTCTTGTCCTATCAGCAGAGGTTAAGAAGAATAATTTGACTCCCTTCTTCTTTAACTTTTTAGGTACTTGAAAGTTGCTATCATGTTCCCTCTGTCTTCTCTCCCAAATTAAATAAACCCATTTCTTTCAGTCTCCCTTCATAGCTCATGTTTTCTAAACCTTTAATTATTTTTGTTGCTCATCTCTGGACCTTCTCCAATTTTGCCACATCTTTCCTGAAATGTAGTGCCCAGAACTGGACACAATACTCCCAGCCAGGCTCCTAGAACTTGTAAGGTGTTGTGTTAAACAGCAGGCTGGTGAAAGGGCTGGCTGGGGGTGCGCCCCACACTCTTCTAGGACTGACTGAGCTGTGCCCCACACATCTGTATTTAGGATAGGCAGAAGGGGCTGATGCCTTCCTCCGATTCCTACCAATGCAGCCTGTTGCTGTTCCCCTTCCATCACTGTCAGGGAACAAGAGGGAGCTCTTTCTAAGCCACAGGGGGCTGCTTTGTCTTGTATTTCTTGCTGGAAGGAGTGTTCAGACTCCAGCAGAGCTATGTGAGCAAGCTCACTCCTTCTCCCTCAATCGTCCCTGCCTCTTACCTGAGCAGGAGGGCCTCAACAATGGGAAGGTCTAAGGCTATAGCCTTACTAGCCTAATGGTTAATCTGGCCCTGGTTGGCAAAGATATTGGAATTGTATCCTGGTGCAGAGATTAAGACAAGAGCTAGTGAGGGAAACAAATCGGGGAGGATGGCTTGGGATCCTTTTGGCTGGGGTGAGATTGTTGTGATTCAATGGAAGAAGTAGAAGGGAAGAGGCTGGGACTAGGAACCAGTGTGTGGGGGGGAAATGGAGGTGGGGCAAATCAGAAGACAGATAGCTGCCTGTTTCAGAACAGGTTATTAACTTACATCTCCCACATCGTAATGTGAGTGTCTAACCACCAGGCTATTGACTATTTTGGGGCGAGTATTGACTATTTTTTTTTTGCAAGACATTTGGGAATTCTCTGGTTCATGTCTGTGTAGAATGGAAAAATATTTGGAATCTTGGAAATGTATGCAGAATGGGAAAACTGTTTATGTCATCTGGAACAGTGCCTGAAGGACAGCAGTAGAAAATGCCACTTTGCAAGTGGAAGCTAGAACAGTCGGTGATGCAAGATCATTAACTGCATGATTTCTAACCAGCCACATTTGGAGTCAAACCCTGACTGGTGCCAGGTCTTTGGTCAAAATGAGGACACTGGAAAGGGAAAGGGAGCTATGCAAGAATGACAGAAACAGCTTTGTCCCATTCCCAGTATGAAGATCTTGCCCAGCCCTGCACAAGGTGATACAGCATAACCTTGAAATTTCATTCTACTCCTTAGAGCACTACCCAGATTGCACCACTGCAGGAGGTGTCAGACATCCTCTTCATTGAAGTAAACCTCCTGCTAGCTACCATCTCCAGTCAGGCAAGTTTCTCAGATGAGAGCTAGCATTGAGCTTGGTATTCAGAGAATTAGTCCTCACAGCTATCATAACATGCATTCCTCAAAATAAATTCAAAAATATTCTTCCTTCGCTTAGGCATGTCAAACTCAAATTGTTCAGAGCACTGATAATCTCAGGGCAGAGTAGTTGTATCTCTTGTGCTAAGATCTGGTAAGTGGCCACATGGCTACTAATGCATACATTCATCAGTTCTGCATATTGGTCATCCAGTCTTCACTCAATGTCATTTTTGGCACAATTCTTCTTAATGTCTCTGTGCCCAGAGAAAGATGGAGGGCATGTCATATATCTCATTTTTAAACATTTGTATTTAAAGGATAATCTTGCTGCCCACCCTCAAGATACTCTTCCATGGAAATTCCACTGTAATGATCCATAAATCTTAGCACAGTGAAGAATAGGGAAATGTATGTGCTTGCCTTAAATTTGTTTTCAAGTAGTAAGTTCCACAGATCTGGCTCTCCCAGAAGACAAATGGATCATACAGAGTAGAGAAGGAAATTGACATCCAAAGATTTGCGATTGTTTGTTAGGGTTAATTTCCTATGCTATGCAGAAGGAGAAAGTATTGTTTTTGTGTATTAAACAGAATCCATAATTAAAGAAAATAAAAATGAATTATACTGGCTGTAGAAATTCTCAGTGGGAGGGAACTTCAGGGTGCGAGCTACTCCTCTTCAGACAGTGACTGCCAGGCTTGCTTCTGTCCACCAGCTGCAGGCAAGCTGAAGAACTCATTGTAATGGACCTGTGGACCATATTTAAAGGAAATTTTAATAGAAACATTAATACACTTTCCTGTCCCTCTCACTTGCCCATTATGCAGTGCAGTAATTTCCCCCCTTTTCTGCTGGTCTATTGATCAGACTCCAGTATAAAGCATAAATAGCAGAGCTGAGTGAATCATATTACAGTCTTTTTCTTTTTTTTTTTGCAAATATTTTTTCAAATTAAAAAAATTCTGTTTAATTCATGATTGTCACATTTATCTGTCACAGACATGAGCTGCAGAGCATCATTAGACAGAATACAAGAGAAAAGGCATATGGTATTGTTTCAATTTCTTAATTAGACATAATTAACTGACTCAGTAGGTAAAACTTCACTAATTTCAAATGTCAGTATGTAGAAGAAAGCAAACTTCAAATTGTACATTTTTGCTTAGTGAAATGTTACCTATTGAGTCAGTTAATTATGTCAAATTAGGAAATTGAAACTATACTATATTACTTTGTAAACTAACGCACATGTGACTGCTTGATTTTTGGGGTAGAATTATTTCTGAAATGCCCAGGCCTGAGGTAAAAGGCAGCAAATGCACCTATTTCAAAAGTATCCCTGACTTGTATTTGGTCTACAGGGATGAATGCACATTATTATAATTAGGTTGTAGTTTAGAAATATTTTCCTTTGAAGCCATGTGTTCTTACGAAACTTCCATTCACAGTATCCATGTTTTTAACAGAAATTAATTTAAGCCTTACAACCTCCCAGCAATGTAGGTTTTTGTCATAACCATTCTGTAGATGGAATGTAACCAATGCCTGCTTGGTATGCTGTTCAGCCTCCCCTTAATGGGATCTAGACCACGTGACGATTGAACCTGCTACAACCTTGAGATGGGTCTTTTAGCTCATGCAGCAGAAGCGCATGTCTTAAGCTCCAGGGGTCCCAGGTTTGATCTTGGCTCACGATGACTGGGGTCTATTGGCATCATAGATGCACTATTGTACATACATGCTGCGTTCAAGAAATCACTGTTGCATGTCAGTGGGATCATTCACATGCTTAAAATTCAGCACGGGCTCAGAAGCAACGTGTCAGGGGGGGTCATGCAGGGTCAAGTGCCTCCTGCAGCAAATGGCCTGGATGAGAAGTGGAAGGAGCAGGGCTGAGCCAGAGCCTCTTTGGCTGTAGGGATGCTGCTTGGTGCAGCACACCAGCTGCCTGGGAGAATGCTGGTCGAGGTGGGCTACCTTCCACCCAACCTCTGCTTCTCGGGACAGTGGCTGAGCAAATAAGCTCCCTGTTCCTTCTCGCATACTCAGCCCCTGTCCCCAGAAACCGATCCCTGGCAGGGAGCGAGAAGCCACTGCTGCCCCTCCCCAGCTAGGTTCTCTCCTAGGCAGTTGGTTGTGCTGCACACAGCAGTGATTGGGAGCAGTTCCATCCCGTGCTCCAGCAGCCAGGGAGAGTAGTCAAATATGCTGGGGCAATAGGACAGAGCCTCCCCAGCATGGAATGTGATGCAGAGAGGTGTCAGAGAAAGTGCAGGGGACTCGGGCTGGGGACGGGGTAAAGATGAGGGGTGGTCATGTGCCCCCCTTTAGCTTGTACCCCCAACCCCAGTATGAAGCGGCACAGTCATTTATACACATTCCCTTGCTGAATGTGGCTGTACTTTACACATGTGCTTAAGTGGTCTGCTCAGTAATGACTTAGAAGACTTGGCAGAGATATTGCAATGAATCCATGGCACAACTGAGACTAGATTTTAGGAGTCATGAGTCCCAGTCTCCTTATCTAAACAAAAAGCAATCTTCCTTGCTCTGAATTACTAAATATGTGTACATTGTATGTGATGAAGCTCTGCTGTTTGTGGTGAAAAATAATACTTTAAAATATTTTTCAGGTCTAAAGTGTGTGTGTCAGTTGTGTGAGCATACGAATTTCACCTGCCAAACTGAAGGAGCATGCTGGGCTTCTGTCATGCTAACTAATGGCAAAGAAGAAGTGATAAAGTCATGTGTATCCATTCCAGAGCTGAATGCACAGGTCTTCTGCCATAGCTCTAAAAACATCACAAAAACAGAATGCTGCTACACAGACTTCTGCAACAATATAACACTCCGTCTGCCTGTAGGTAAGCAGTATTTCAGAATTAGGCTATGCTTGGATTATTGTGACAGGAGCAAAGATATAATGAAGTTTTAAATAAGTACACAGTCTTCCCTTGGACATTCATGTAGCTCTCACTTTAGTCAGTGGGAGTTGTGTGCACTGCTGACACTGGAATGTTGGTGAAGAAAGTAAAAGAAATTTGCTTAAATCTTTCTATGATGGAGTATCTTAGGCTATGTCTACACAGCCGCGATGTGATAATTCGCGTGTCTACACAGCAATTCAGTTATTTCAAAATAAATTTGAAATAATGGACAACTTATTCCAGCTTCCATAAACCTCATTCCATGAAGCATAATGCCTATTCCGAAATAGCTATTTTGAAATAGCTGTAGTGTGGACACTTCACTTCTGCTATTTCGAAATAGCTCCTCCCCAGGGCCATTCAAACTAATTACTCTCCAGTGCCTCCTGGGGCTCTAAATTGAGGTAGCAGGTGCAGAATAGGGAAGCCTAATTTTGAGGCTTCACTGTACTGTCGATGTGCTATTTTGAAAGAAGCTATTTCAGAGTATTTCTTCCAGAATATCTTATTTTGAAATAAGCATCTAGGGTAGACGTACCCCTCCACGGCAAGCCATTATTTTGAAATAATGTCGAGCTGGAGGACTACTTACTCTGACTCCTGTAACCATTATTTCACAAGGAGTAAGGGAAGTGGTGTTCTTCTGACTTCCTGCTGTGTAGACAACACCAAAAGCCCAATTAAGCTATTTCAATTTCAGCTATGCAATTGACATAGCTGAAGTTGCTTAGCTTAGTTCGACTTTCGCCCTGCTGTGTAGACGTGCCCTTAGTTTATAATTCAAACTGATTTATTGGTGTCTTATATACACCTTTCATATAATTGTAGCCAGTATAATGGAGACATTATACTGTGTAGCTGCAGAGAAATATAAATTTTGTCTCTGAATTAAAGATTGGTTACAGAGAGGTATGGGTGTGTGTGTGTGTGTTACCAAGGGAATGAGCCATGCAGAAATTTCATTTGATACTGTCACATGTGACGATGCTTAATAAATACATAAATGGTAAGACATGATTCCTGTCCCAAGGATTTTGCAGTCTAAACTAGGCTATTTCAAATATTTAAAACTTGAGGTTTGGAATTAAATGTCCTGGATATGCAAACAGTTTGCAAATGTGTGTACACTTCCAATTAGGGGGTTAACTAAATACACATTTTTATCTTGCTAGTTGTTAATTCTGTGAGTGAAACTCTCCTCCCACCTGTGGACAGGAGGATAGCTGCATTTGGTTTTTTATTCTGACAATTGATGCAGACAGCTGTCATGACTTGTACCATTTTTAGACATTTTGACTAATTACTCCCAGAGTCTTGCAGTTTTAAGTGAAATGTCATTTTTGAGATATGTGGTTGCAAAATATAAATATTTACTATTTTCTCAAAGCCTGTTAATATAAAGATCAGAAGCAAAGCAGGAGAAAGAAAGTACAGCTTTCCGTATAGTTCAGGGCCAGTCTTGAATATCATGTTTATTTGGGACAATGGGATCATATTATATTTTAAAATCTCATGGTTAAGTGCATACTATAGCATTCTAGAGTGGCATAATTTCTTTCTATAGCATTTGCAAATGTATATGTCTTGAGCTTTCAAATTCTGCAACAGGGTTGTAGCATTTGACTGAACAATTTTTAGTCAGTGTTAAATTGGTGTCTTGGAACTTTTCCCAGTAAATATGGACTCCAGGTTCCAATCAGAGGCCAGTGTGAGATAGGAGTTTGCTCTTCTAGGAACTCTATGCCATAAAATTGGTGCTGTATTTTGACTCTGAGCTAGTATGAAGGAAATAAGCCAGGTGGGATGGTATGAGGCTTGGTAAATGAGAAATGGGAGTTCCACGTATGGGGATCAGCATAATAACAAGACAAATATGAAAGTGTGAGACAAAGAAGGGAGTTGTAAGGAGAGCAGAATAGGAGGAATGTAGGGAGCAAGTGGAACACTTCTAAGCAAGGCCTTTTTCTAAATGAGGATAAAGAGCTTGAATTTGTTTCAGTAAAATGAGGCTAACGCAGAATCCAAAGGGGAGGGTGTGATAACTTGAGTATTTTGGACAGGTTTGAGGTGAGGGTGAATATTTCATGGTTTTCTTGCCCAAAAATCTGTGAGGAGATAATCAGCATATCTCACCTCTTACCATGCCAACATCTACCCCACTGTTCTTTCAACTATTGCCATGTTTCTGTCTCACAGCTGTAGTCTCTATGCTTGGGGGATATCTCCTATAAAATATTTCACCCATTTTGTGTGGGCCAGTGGGTCATCTTTTGACAGGGACTGTCAAACAATGAAAGTAGATGCTGTGGCTGAAGTTTGCACTCCGCGTGAAAGAAAGATGGAGTAGGATTCTGCAGAAAATTCAGGAGAGAAGCAGAAGGCTTGCAAGAGGAGATGCTGCCTTACCTAATAGTTTAGGGGGCGATGTCTCACTTGGAGCTGATGGAAGTACAAAAGGCTTGGGACTCTGGGGCTACATCTATGCTATTTTAGGATACCGGAGGTATCCTAAAATAGCTATTCTGCGTGTTTTGAGCACGCCTGTTATTTCGAAATATAATGGTTCACTATACTGATGTCCCTGTAAACCTCATTCCATGAGAAATAAGGGGTGTTTCCGAATGGCGATTTATTTCGAAATAAGTGCTGTGTAGACAGCGCCAAATTTTGAAATAAGCTATTTTGAAATTTACTTGAAATAAGCTACACAATTTGCGTAGCTCTAATTGCATAGCTCATTTTGCATTCTGGGTGCAGTGTAGACATACCCTGGGAGAGGGAGGTGAGACTGGCTGGTGCCTGAGGGGAAGCAATAGGTGGGTACAGAGTTTTCTCAGCTCACAGCCAATCACTCAAATTAGAGCCTCAAGGAAGAGTATATTCTTGGGAGTCTAAGATAAATCTACTTAAATTTACATAAATGTTTGCAGTCTTTAAATACCAGCATGTTGCAGAAATGATCATTTTTCCATTGATGCTTGCAGATAGATAGTAGTAGTAATTACGTTCTTATCAGCAACTTTACTACATACATATGATACGCAGCACAGAAAATCAAAATGTTCCTGATGTAATAAAATATGTAGCTATTGCAAAAACAGAACAAATTTAACAATATATTGATAGATGTGCCTTTTGTAGTCTGTTTTTCTAACATTTGAATGGGTAGTTGCAAAACATTTTGTTTCTTATTACTGTTAGCTGTGAGGGTAACCTACTTGGGCTAAAAACTAAGCCCTTTGCCCTACACATTTGGGAGAGTTCATGCTAGATGCAATGGAATAAATGCCAAGGTTACTTGATTGCTAATCTTTTCTGTCAGCCCTTTTGCATATTATTCATATTACAGGACAGACATCGTCTAGGTCCAAGTGAAAGCAGGTTTCTTGGAAATGACTCGATTTGTGGGCCCCAGACCCTGAATCCCTTATGGCTGCCTTGCCTCATATTTCTGGTGCAAAGTGTCCCCAAAGCTGGTATGTCTGACCCTGGGAATATTAGGGAAACAAGGTGGGTGAGGTAATATCTCTTATTGGACTGATTTTTGTTGGTGATAGACAAGCATTTGAGCTACAGCCTTTTTTCCCTCAGGTCTGGGAAATGTCCTTAGAATGTCACAGCTAAATATGAGATGGAGCAGATAGTTTGACATAATTATTTAGCATGTGTTCTAAAGTTGTGTCTATACAACAAAGCTTAAATCCACACCCAGCCTGTGTCAGTTGACTTGTGCTTGCAGGGCTAAACTGTGGAGCTTTTCATTGCTGTGTAGGCTTCTGAGCTCAGGACAGTGCTACAGTCCAAGTACTGTGAGCATTGATCTACTGGCTCAGGCAGGCCACAGGTTTTTCTTTGTTGTGTAGACATATCTGGAGGGACCTTTTAAGATGAAGTGGCCTGTTGATACCTTTGTAGCAATCATAGGATGAAAAAGAGGATTAGGGGTTTACAGATTGTTATATAAGCAATAAAACCAGTGTTTTTATTAAGACCATAATTTTTAGTGTCTAGCAGAGTTATGCTGCCAGTCTTGCCTAAAAGCCAGGATAATGGCTTCTGTGCTAACCATATCCCTGCAGTTGGCATAAGAAGTGTATCCAGTGAAAGGATGTTGCTGCAGGTTCCCTGAATCCTGGCTATTTCCAACTGCTATAATGGCATAATGAGAACTCTGAAAGCTATTGGCTGCGTCTAGACTGGCAAGTTTTTCCGCAAAAGCAGCTGCTTTTGCGGAAATCCACTAGCCACTTGAATTTGCGCAAAAGCACTGACGTTCTACTGTCCGAAATCAGTGCTTCTTGTGCAAATGCTTTGATGTTCCCGTTCGGGAAGAAGCCCTTTTCTGGAAATGTTTTTGCGCAAAAGAGCCAGTGTAGACAGCTCAGGACTGTTTTGCGCAAAAAAGCCTTGATCGCGAAAATGGCTATTGGGGCTTTCTTACACAAAACTAGATTAGCACGGACGCTTTTCCGTAAAAAGTGCTTTTGCGCAAAAGCGTCCGTGCCAATTTAGATGCTCTTTTCCGCAAATGCTTTTAATGGAAAAACTTTTCCGTTAAAAGCATTTACGGAAAATCATGCCAGTCTAGACGTAGCCTAAAGGTATGTCCACACAGCAAAGTTATTTCGAAATAACAGCCATTATTTCAAAATAAGTTTACTGGCGTTTACACAGCCAAACCGCTATTTCGAAATACATTCAAAATAGTGGAGCACTTATTTTGAATTTGGTAAACCTCATTCCATGAGGAATAACGTCAAATTCGAAATAGCTGTTTCAAAATAAGTGCTGTGTAGACACTTATTTTGAAATAGGGAGCCTCCAGCCTTCCCCCTTACCCAGAGCCCTTAAAGGGGTTGACTCTGGCCACAGTGCCTGTGCCAACTCCAAGCCTGCCAGCCCAGAGCCAGCAGTCACTGCCCCTGACCCAGTGGCC